AAAATGGCGCAAAAAGTTTTCCATGGAAAAATAATATTAATTTGAAAACTTTTCCTAAACTTTCGGAAGTACCTCGGGCCAAAAACAGAAAATCTTCTGGGTTATCGAGTGTGCTGAATACGAAAAATCACTTTTTAGCAACTCTAAACCAATTTTATTTTTTTTGTTCCGATGATATGTTTAAAAATTTTCCTTAACAGTTTGGCGGTACCCCTCGCTAGGAATAAAAAATTTTCCAGGTTATCAAGTGTGCTGAATACGAAAAAGCACTTTTCTTTAACTCTAAATGAATTTTAATTTTTTGTCGGTGATATGACCATCACGGGTAGCTAACACAGATATCCGTCAAGGGTTATCGTCAACGTGAGAAGAGGTAGAAAGCAACTTCTGACACTATTTTTACCCGTTAGCGAGGAACAATCTATCCTTGGGATGCATGTTTCTAATCAGACTTCCTGTGTACTGATTGGCACGACACTGCATTGTCACTAGCCAACGCTGATAGATGGCGCACATGAAATATCAGAATATTCGATATCCATGTTAACCACGCCTTTTCGCTAGTGATCTAAAGAGCGTTAAACATCTCCATTTTACCAGAAGTAAATTTATATAGCATTACATGTGTGATTTTTCACTATCGCACAGAGACTCCAAGTAATCTTTCTATTCGTCATTGGCATATGATCACATGATGGAGACTTGTCAAAGCAGACGACGAAGAAAGAATGAAAAGAAAAACACAATAAATAAATTATTACGCACTGATATTATTATTATTTTCTTTATCGCTATTACAGCATGAAAACAAAAAAAATAAATGAGAAAAAAATGTGATCATAACAAAACATATATTGCTACTTTTCTAAAAATATCTATTTACTGCTTCTTGATATTGTTCTTTCAATTTATCGGCTTTATAACTTCAGTAGCAGCGAGTGGATGATGCGTATATAATCAATACAAAGTGTCTCTATAACGTTCTTTATTTTAATTGATTCTAATAATTTTTAATCAATGACTGGAGATTCTCATCTAGCTTATCAGCAAATCATGAATTCTAGTGTAAATAATACGACGAATAACAACTATAACAATGAAAAAACAACACATTTGAAGTAAATAGGCAGTGTTTTTATGATTAGTTAGCATTTACATGTCTCGTTTGTATTTTTAGTTATCTTTCTTCTTTTCGTGTGGACCAATGCCAGTTATTTTTACAGCACAAATGTACGCAACATCGTCCATTTACATGTTTTCATTGGCATTTTATGAATCAACGTCGACGAAGACCGTTAAGACACAAGGATGGTACATTCTGCCATGACCCAGATTTTTATTGTGATAAATACGATGAACAAAGTGGTGTATGCTGCAATGGAGAAGAGTAAGATAAGGCTATTTGTTTGCTACAAAAAATTCTAGTATGACTATTGTTTTATTGTAGGTGTCAATTTCTTCATCGTAATGCAGGTGATACGGAAAAACGCTACCATTTACGGTATCTAAAAACGGCTATCTGTACACATGAAACTGATTCGAAAGGCCATTGTCTCAAAAATGGACCACACTGCTCTTATGCCCATGGTTTATCTGACTCAAGACAGCCAGTATTTGATATAAGAGAAGTACAAAATACTGAGCTAGCGTTAGAGAGATTGTCAAGACTATCAATTAGTCTAGAAAATGAACGAGCTCTCAATGATGATCCAAAATGGAGTGGTAACAGAAAACATTTTTGTTTATTTAAAATTACAATTTCATGTTTTTCTATTCAAGATTCACAATATGTTTTGGCTAATTATAAAACGGAATCTTGTAAACGACCGCCACGATTATGTCGACAAGGTTATGCTTGTCCACAATATCATAATCCGAGAGACAGACGAAGAAATCCGTCTATTTTTAAATACAAGTGAAAGAAATACACATTTAGTAATAGTGTAATATAGAGTGATAAATGTTTTTCCCTTTTGTCAATTAGATCAACTCCTTGTCCTCATGTGAAACAAAGCGATGAATGGATGGATCCCACCGCCTGTGAGTCGGGAGACAACTGTAAATATTGTCATACGAGAACAGAACAGCAATTTCATCCCGAAGTATGTCTTGCTTGTTAATCGAAACTAATTATCTAAAGAAATATATCACTTATTAGATTTATAAATCAACAAAGTGCAATGATGTTTCTGTAACCGGTTATTGTCCACGAGGACCATTTTGTGCATTTGCTCATATAGAACGTAGGTCGTAATAATTAACTAATTACGTCGAATTTCATTATGTTTTATTTCTTGCAGAGGAGCTAAAATCTTATCGTGATTTTGATCATTTTACCAGTGAATTGCCATTATCGTCTTTCATACCAATACCAGAAGAAAAAGAAGTTGGCATTATAATGGTACGTGCTTTGCGAAATTGCGCCTTTTTATTTGACCTTAGTAGAGATGTATTCATATTGATTTTTTAGAATTCTCCAATAAGGACACAAAAGAAATCATCACAAGCATCCGTATTTGAAGTTGGATCTTATCCGGGTACAAATGTAAAAACATTCGATCAAATAGCAACATCTGGAAATGTACCGTTTTCGTTAGATTTTATTATTGAAACTATTATTATCGTTTTTTTAGCTATTCCAAAACGATAGTTCATTTAGTGGTAGTAATACATTCAATCAAGAACAAGAGCACCAACACGTGGGTATTGATAATAGAAATCGTTCGCCAATTACACCGTTATTCTCGGAGTTTCACTCGATTTCATCCCCAATGTCTATTCATTCAAATCATCCATTGCCGCCTCCTCCATCCTTGATCAACGATTCATCAGTAAATTTACAGTTCAATAATGCGAGTCTTGCAGCGGCATTACAAGCAGTTACCACTAGTCATTTTAGTCAATCTTATCCACCCTTATCTTTACTTTCATTCCCACAAACAACCCATCAGCAACAACAACAACAACAACAACAAAATTCAGCTGCAACCAATTTTATAACGTCAATACAAGCTCATCTTCATTCGGTTGAAACTCCCTCATCACTATCATCTTTTATTAGTAGCGGTCGAAGTCTTCCGAATACTTCCTATTTTGACGATGAAGACGATGATTTATATCATACTGATACTTCACCGTTACGTTTTGGCAGCTATCAATCTAGTGTTGCACCAACAACGACAGATGTTAAAAATTTAATTGGATTATCATTGAAAACAATTGGTATTGATAATATTGATGTAGATGAGGTTGATTTTGATAAAGCATCGAACAACAATGATGTATTACTTGACGACACGGATAATTTCGATACAAATGTTCATACATCGACGACGACTACTTCACCAATACCAGCTACCTCTTCCACAATAAAAACATCTTTGACTACTAGTCGAACAACATTACCTGTAAATATACCAAATTCATATCAAGCATCTTATGTACATTTTTCACAATCTCCATCAAAATCACCATTTGATCTACTTTCATCGACAAAGCAACAACAACAGGATCGAACATTAGAATCGGTAAGAAATAATCTACAGCTTTTAAAATTTATATATTCTTTTATTTTACAAAAGATCTCTTTTACTGGCACTGTTTTATCTTCACACTATTTCAATTTAGTATGGTTTTTATTTTAGCCAATCGATAACATTTTTCCTGAACCTTCCACTACAGGTAGTGGAGGTCATTCGGGAAGCTACACAATGTCGGGATTCAATCATGATATACCTAGTACTCTACATCAACAGCAACAACGATCAACTTCACCGCAACCAATTTATAATCGTTTGAATAGCAGCAACGGAGCCATTTCATCCTCTTCGTCATCTTCCACACCATATCAGAATGAAATTGATATTATGCGTAATCGTGTACTGCAAATGCAAGTTATGGCAATTACACAGAAAGAAGTATGCAACACTGTTTATAAAAATAAGCATCATAAATGTTTGTTTTCTTCTTCTAGGCTTCTGATCATTGGCGAAGAGAAGCAGAAGATAAGCACCGCATAGCTGTACAGTTAGAACAAGAAAAAAATCGTGCAATTCAACAACGCGATGATGTGAGAGAGAATATCTTTTCACATGGAAACTTACTATCATCATAATTTTTGTCTAGGCATTACATCAGATTGATACAATGCGTCATTTACTGACGCAAAATACACGTTTATTACCTAGTGACAGTGATTTAATGTCTTTACCATTAGACGATGTGAGATCGTTACAGTCACGTTTGAAACAAGAGTTGACAAAAATAGCTTTAGTAAGTTTAGAACAGAATGTCTGCATTTTCAATCCATTTTTATGCATATAGCACATTTTATTTTTTACTTATTATGAAGGTTGAACGAGCAAAATCAAATAATAATGTTCCTGAAAATTCAAATATAACTTCGTCAACTACTCAAACTCAGCCAGTTTCATCAAATCAAAGAAATAACAATGGTAAAAATCCAGTGTTATTACAGTCGTCAAAGCAATAATGGTGATCGATTGATTGATTAACGAATGTTGCAAACTCTTTTATATACAGCGATATCATACAAAGACATATAGAAATAGCAGTTACATTCTTTAAAATTATTTTTCGCTTTTTTTCAAGCACATTTTATATATACTATGCTTTTAATAATATCTTTTTTTCTTCGTTGAATTAGGCTAATGTTTTGTTTCGCTCGACTTTTCAGCTTTAACTAGATATAGAAGAAAGAGAGAACAGTGAAAACTGTTGTTAAGTGTTTATATATATATTTGTGTGTGTGTGTGTGGTTTGCTTTTTTTTCACAGATATGTACAGTCTGACATTGTTTTGGAGAAGACACACTGAAAGACAGGATTGTGTTTTTTTGTTTGTTTTTACGTTGAGTGTATGTGTGTGATATGAATGAAGAGTGTAGGCTAGTGTGTACATACAGATGAATTTTGTCTTCTTTTTTTTGTGCTTTTTTATACTCGTTCTGGAAGTGTTTGTGGCTGAAAACGAAACATAAAATTTTGCTTATCCATCTTGTAATTTCTTTTCTTTTCTTTTGTGCATTTGATAAAGCGATCGGGTGCACATGTAGAACAAGATTAAAAAGTACAGAGTAGACTCACTTTTTATCTTGATTATTTATTTCTTAAGCCACTGCTCATCAGCCTGTAATTTCTTCAAATTTTGTCACAAATCTTTGTTTTTATCAAGATATGGGGTGTTTTTTTGAGAGAAATCGGACGATTTGTTTTTCAAGAAGGGTATAGAAGGGAAGTATTATTTTTCTAATGTCAGACGGTTTGTTCAAACCAATCAGTTCTTTGCATTTTATTTAGATTAGTGTAGATTGTTTGAAGTTATTCTGTAACTACTTTTCTTCCCAGAAAGAGTTTATAAAAAAAGTTAACATAGAAAAATCTAAACTGTTGTTATGGATCTGTTTATGGACTAAAACGTTTATTTAATTCTATTCTCTAGGTATCTTAGGCCGTTAAGACCAAAAATGATTAAAAAGTGTGTTTAATACAAAATATACTACTTCTTAATAGATAGGAGAAGAAAGAGATAATTTTGAATTTGAGTGTTTGTATTTGATTATTACACGTAATTTTATTTTGTGTTTGTTCGTAGGTTAAATATATTTATTACTTAGGAAATTCTATTTCTACATTTCATAGATACTGTACGTTTTACTTTTCTTTACGATTGTTTTTTTTCGTTAGACTATGTATATGACAAGAGAGTGCTCGTTGTAAGCAAGTTTTTTATGTGAAATATGTAACTATCCATTGATCTTTTTTCTTTTTTACCGTTAAATTATTATTATATCTATATGAATATACCTAACTTAACAAAAAGAACTTTAAAAAAAATGTAAATTTGAACTATTTGTGTCTCTACAACATCTTCTACTCAAAAAGTTGTTCGCACAATGCAGTCTAATAATAATGATAATTCATCGTTTTAGATGGATCATCGATCATATGCAGGAATCGATGCCATTACCAATGTTTGCACTAAACTTTATCCAGATCAAACAAATCCTCTACAAGCGACAACTGTTGTGAAATATTGGTATGCATTTTTCCAAACAAATTCGATGTAACACTATTTCATTCTGTAAATCTCAAGGCTTGGTGGTCAAGAACCGCTCGATTACATAAGCATTTATCATAATACTGGAAATGAAACCTCACCACCTCATTGGCATTATATTACATTTGGCTTAACGGATTTACATGGTGACGGACGTGTTCATAAGTAAGAATCATCTTCAGTACTATTGTCGAATACATGTCAGATAATTTCTTCTTTCGATTCTAGGCCATCAGTTAAAGGTGAAAATGATACATCATCACCGAGTGGTTATGGATTTGAATTGACATTTCGTTTAAAAAAAATGCCTGAGAACACGAATGTAAATGATATTCCTTATTGGCCCGCCACAATGCTTCAATACTTAGCTAAATGTATGAAGAGAGAGAAAGAAAAACAATATTAATACAATAATAGTATACTTATTTCAAAACAAGAAAATCTATCATATATTTTAGATATATTTGCAACAGGAAACTCTTTTGCTGCTGGTCATCACATTCCATTTTCGCATATTTTACCAAATATCTATTCTAATGGAGATAATAAATTGAAGACAAAAATTCAAGATTTAATTATTACACAAGATAAAGAATTGAAAAAATTTATAACACAAAATGGGTCTATTGAATTTCTACAAGTATGACTTAATCATTGTTGTTGTTATATTTTTAATTCGATTTATTTTTTCAGATAGTCGGTTGTTTTGAATGTGAATTAACTGCAGCACAAGACTTCTCTGGCTCGAAAATTATTGAACTTTTAAGTTCTAATCGAAAGTAAGCAACATAAAATAAAATATAAATAACGCTTCTTGAGAATCATTTCGCTTAACTGAATGACATTAATCATCGTTTCTTATCTCTCCTTGACAATTTTATATTTCCTTGTTCATAATTTAGAAGTGGTGGTTCCCTATTGGTTACCGACATGACAAGAGAAGAATCGATATTTGAATTAATTCCATCCGCTAGACAAACAATTACAAATGCTATTCAGAAAGAGGGTTCACATTTAGGTCGTGCATTGGCTCGATGTAGCTGGTCCGTTGAGTATGTCTATCTATATCATTAACTTCAAAATATATGTATTGATAAAAATATTCTTCTATTTGCTTAGAGCATCATCAATGCCAAATATAAATGATTCACAAACACGATTCGTTCCTTGTCCAATGATACAGTTATCATTTGATTTGGATGCAGCAAAAATGTTTTTAAAAATACTAAAGTTAGTGTTTTTAATGATATAGATTAGATGAAACAATAGTAAATGTTTTTGTTGTTTTATTTTTCTAGTACACGATTAAAACGTGGCAAATTTTTTATATTTGATTCACCACTTAATCAAACAATATGTTTAATGCCAATTAGTTGTACAAATCCGGGTATTGTTGTTGATTCGTTAAGACCGATCATGGTGTCAGTATACGAAGCACAAATCATGTTAATGCCAGAAGCAATTGATTCATGTTTAGATCAAATGGATCATATTATTAATATTCAAGTATGTTATACAATAGACACTTCGAATAATAAATCGTATCAAATCGGATTCATTTTTGTTTTAGAGCGAACAATCATTGCCACTTACGTATGAAATTCCAATTCAAACATGTAAAATGAAAATTTGTCTGATCACAAGTGCTGACTTTGCTACAGTTCCAGAATGAACAAATAAATGTGTGTTTTTATTTCTAGTTGATATTTACTAGCCAGATGCTTTTTTTCTTTATCCGTCCATATACTATTTTAAATTTTACTCAATATACTTTCCAATTTTTTATTTTTTATAGGAGAAAATATTGACATGCTGTAGGAAAATAAGAATTATTATAAAAATTTCAAATTTTTTAAAGAGTTCTCACGTGGTTGCATAAAATAAAAATTATTTTTAACTTGTTTTGAAGTGGGGTATTCCTCTGAATAATATCGTGATAATGACGGATACTGATGTCTGGCTAGATTTCACAACAAGGACCTTATGCATTTCTTCGTATTTCCTTCTTCCTATTCCTTCAGAATCGAAAGCCAATTTGTAGCAAATGTTTTCGGAAATTGTTCGATGTGTCATTCGTAATAGAGACCATACTTTCTAATCTAGAATAAGGGTTTACATATTTTTATTATAAAAGCTGGAATTATCCTCTTTTAAAAATATTCTACATTAGAAAGGGTATTTCTTTAAGTCTTACAGACGCACATATTTTGTAAGTGTACGCACTGCTTTTAGAAGAAAATTTTCTTAGGTGTGGATCTTAAAACTTCGTCCAACGTTTTTGAAGTATGAAGGGAAATAAGAAATCCATGTGATCTTCCCTGGGAAATGTGGCTATAAATGACGAAATGGCTTTTTTATGCGAAAATGCTGTAACAAGTGGTCTTACTCATCCTCTCTTGGGTGATAGACACAAAAACTAAATTTCGATGTGAAAAGAATCTTAGGAAACACTCTTAAAATGATTATACACGATCACGATGATTTATTACAATGGAAAAACCGAATTCTAACAAGCTTCCAACAACTGATAAATTTGCTGCAGATAGTAACTAAAGTACCACCGAGTACACTTGAATTACTTTACAAATATTATGTTGTTATCAGCGCTCAACAATATGAACTTAAACAAGATTCAACAACACTTAAAAATCTGACAAAACTAACACAAAGTATAAACTACTCTGAAAAAAAAAGGTACGATACGGAACTTAAAGGGATTTCGTGCACACTACGGAACTTAAAGAGGTTTCAAGAATTGAAACCATTTCTAAACCCTTTTAAAGGTTTCGTACGAAATCTACGAAACCTTAAAAAAGTTTCCTAGATCCTTGATAAATCTTTTTCGTACATTCCTACGAAACCTAAAAAGGGTTTAGAAATGGTTTCAATTCTCGAAACCTTTTTTTTTCAGTGTAGATTATAATTGCGCTATGCACAAATTGCGATGTCGACAGACTCTGTCTCTAACTGAACATACTGCTCCAAGCAGACTCCATCGGTAGGTGCTGAGCTTTGCATTTTTGCTTTGAACTGCTTGATAAAAGAACAATGAAGGAAAGTTGAACAAGAGAGACTCTGACTAAGTGGTGATGAACAAAAAATAACAATAATAATCTAACTCCAACAGCCATTTTTTTGCTCACTTATGGAGCTTATACTGCCGAGTTTGGATCTTTAATTGAGTAAAGAACGTGCAATGATCAATTTTCAGTTTCCCCGTAGAACACTGTCGCTTTTTCAAATTTCTCTACGATGAGTAGTTTGCTAGATCATGGCGTCCTCTTGTCCCAAAAAAAGGTCGTAAAGAAAAACGAAAAATTAAAATTCCCAGCATAAATGTTAAATGTCTGTCGACATAAATAGAAAACTGTTGGTAAAGAAGTGTAAGATGTAATATCAATTCAGTTCATAACAAAAGCTATAGTGGAAAAACATATAAGAAACACAAAACATAAAATTTAAGACTGATATTAGTCTTTAGAGATCGATCGGTAGCTGTTAACGACCCACGAACCAACCGTTAGGGATGAAGTATGTAGAGAAACATATACATTCGAATCAATACGTACGCACTCATTTATGATTCCTCGCAAGCTTCAACATTGCAGTTATCTTTAATAGTACAAAAATAACGCGTTTTTCATCGTATTTTTCTCGACACAAGGTCATTCAAGAAATATTTTTTGATTCATTCCAGTTCAATCGAAGTCCATGGATGATTCAATAAAAGTTTCAATCCAGTCTATATGAAGTTCTGCTATACAGTGTATTATGTTAGTAATACATTATTACTCCATATATGTACAAATTTATAGAAAAAATTTTAAATATTTTTGATCTCAAAAGAAATCAAATCTGAAACTTTGGCGTTAGAATGATTAGTCAGTCTATTAAACGCATTTTGAGATAAAAGATAATAATACTTTATTGATTTTTAAAAATTAAACTAAACTGGTTAAAATTTTAAATTAGCATTTTGAATAAATGTACTAGATGAAGATAAATTTCAAGTACATCAATCGAAAAAGCATGAAAAATTGAATAATACGAATGTAGTTACAAGTTACTATGAGTGTTATTTTAACTGTTTTTCTAGCATATACGAAGAAAATTGAATTCATAATATCCTAACCAAAGATTGTTCAGAGATGAAAGGAATATCATTTTTGTAGAAAAAAATACACTCTTTCAGAATATATACGTTTAATTAATTTAGAATGAGAAATGGCAGTAGAATTTTGAATTTTAGAAATCTTCGCCAAAGAGTTTGTCTAGAAAATTTTTGAAAACTGTTAAAATACATTAATCATAACTTGTAAATACATTCCTCTTATTCCATCTTTTTTTTTTTAAAAAACAAAACTGCGCATAAAAAAAGTAATGATCATCATGAAAGTGTACGATAAAAATTGGTGAAATGATCAACATCGTTCAAATCCAAAAAGTTTGATTATGTTGAAAAATAAATAACTAACGTATATCACGTGCAGCACTATTGATGGAACGATCTTAAATAACGCAATATATCTTCTATATATACAATAACACATTGTCTAAATCAATAGAATATTCCGAATAAGTTCTTTTTGTTAACGACATACGATTGACGATTATTTATAGTATTATGTCATATTTCGTCCACTTTGAGATTGCACAGTGAAATTTGAATTAAATGATTCGTCATTTTTATTCTAAAAATAAATTAAACGAGACTAATTTAATTATTTCCATTTTTGTAAAATCATATACTTTACATTAGAAAAAGCTTGTCAAAAAGATATAGTTCAATTTTACTTACATCCGATGAATATCTATTTGAATCATTTAATTGTATTTTCGTATTTAACATTGATGTTGATGGTGTTGAGCGTGATTGTTGTCGTAAACGAATATTATCATCTCTTAAATCAGTAATACGTTCTTGTAAATGTCGAATAAGAGTCTCTTGATCAGGTTCAACAGATTCAAATTTCACCTATATAAAATATTTACACATAGAGAAACAAAAGAAAATAAATGAATAAATTCGTTTTTTTTTTGTCACTTTTTTTGGCTCAATAAACGATGAAGGTCGATGATCATTTGTCTCATTTAATGAACGTGGTTCACTGCTATTGTTGCTTAGTGTTAATCGTTGTTTTGTTAGACTATAAAATAAAAGAAATAAATAAATGAACTTTTTTATTGTATAATTTTTCTTTTCTTCTCCTTACCGTTCCAGTTCATTTTCTATGTGTTTTTCAAGTTTTTGCACTAAATTATCAATTGTATCATTTTGTTTTGATGTCAATTGATATTGTAAATTTCGCATTTTTTGCTCATCAATATTAGCAAGACGATCAACATCACGAAAGTAATACGAATCACTATTTTCCTATATGTAAAAAACAATTTAGTTTTTTAGAAACATAAAATTCATTCCTATTCTTTATACCTTTGTTTTTGAATTGTAACCACTATTTTCATATCGTTTTGATAATTTCTCCTTGTCTACTGAATGATAGTTTCGATTATCATTGGCATAATGAGATGTCTAAACAAAAACAAGTTGTATACGCCATAGTATTAAATTTTATATTAAAAACAAAATAAAAACAATGATAAAAATATACTTTGTCTGAAAAGGCATTTGCTTTTCTTAAAAATTTTGATTTTGTTTCTAATTGAATTCTTTGTTCTAAAATATACTGATTAACATCATCGACAGTGTCTTGTAAAATTTTCTACAAAAACAAAAAAAGAAAAGACAATTAATCTGTTCACTATAATTTACATAAGATAGAGTAGTACTTACTAGTGCACATCTTGAGGGAACTCTTGTAACAACAGACTCTTCATCATAAGTATATGAGGAGATGCTACTAAAAACACAAAACAGAACAATGAATTTATATAGTCTATTTTAGTATACTTCTTACGGTATTGTTGCATGAAGATGTGATGAACTATCCATGGAAATGAGTAATTTTTTAATAATATCATGTAATAATCGTACACACATTTTTTCATATGTTATCATATTGATAAATAATTCATTTTGTTTTATTGATGTATCCGCATTTGATATTGAAACATTTTGAAGATTTTCTTCTAATTCTTTTACACGTAATTGTAATTGACTAAGATCTTCATCTTTTTTCTAAAAATAAAATTTAATTATAGAATTATTTTTTTTACAATAGTTTTTTTATTTAAAATGAAATATACCATTTGTAATTGTGTACGTAAATGATTTACTTCTTCTTGATATTCTTTTCGACACAATTCTTTAGTATTAAATACCGCATTGATTCGTTCATGTGCACTCTCTTTTAACATAATTTGTGTTTCACTTAATCTCTATATAATAAATAGAAAATGTTGTATGTTGATTAAAACATCTAAGATTGATTAATCAATTACATACCGTTTGTAAATCGTATAATTTTTGTTGCAATTTATTATTTCTATCTTGTTCTAATTTTAATTCATGTTGTATATCTTTAATTGCATGAGCTTTTTCTTCTTCAAATCGACATCTCTCATTGGCTATTACGGTATCTCGATGTTCATTCCATACTTGTCTTTCACGTTGTAATCGATCTTCCACCTGTGCAAAGTGTGAAGAAAATCTCGAACAATAAATAGCAATAGAGGATGTTCTATATTTACCTGTGCAATCTCATTTTTGTGAGTAGCTGTAAGTGCAATGATGTCATTGTCTCGCTGAAATATTAATGCTTTCAATTTTGCTAATTCTCGATCTTTAGCCTGAAATTATAAGAAATAACACAGTCGATGAGAAACAAACCGATCTCTAAGGATCTAGCATAAAGATGTAGCAACTAAAATATGGAATTGATCTGTAAAATTATCTAATGAAAATTTGTTGAGTCTAGGTCATATGAAAAAGCTGTTATTAAAAGTTACTATACAGTATAACTTTTCAATTAGTTAGACGATCCCAAGGAAGATTGAACACCAATTTGAGAAAGTAATTTTGGCATGAATGCCTTCCTAGTTTAGCCGCTTATATCGAAATAAATAAGTTTTTTTCATATGCGTGGTAAATTATTTGAGCACTTCATCACTTACTACATTATTCCAGTGTGTATGTGATATGGTGCCATATCGTGGATATTGAACCTTAAACAAAGAGATACATATATATTTCTTGTTTTTAACTAATGTCTAGAAAAGAATATGACTTACATTTTCACCATCATTGAGACAGCGATTTTCATTGACAACTTTTAAGGGCAGAGAATGTTTTTGATTGTGTGATAAAACTTGATTCCTATATGACAAAAATGTTAAAATATTTATATCTTACAAACGCATAGAACAACAGTTCTCAACAACCTTAGAGCATGAATTGTCTCATCTTTTCGTTTGACTTCTGTTTCTAAATTATTACATTTTTGTTCAAAAGAACGATATGCAGTTAATAAATCTTCATTTTGCGATGATAGATAATCGCATAAGTGTCGTTGTGAAATATCGACCATTGTTAGCCTATCGTTTGATTAAAAGTTAATTATAATCTCTACGTACAGTTATTTTCAAGAATTTTCTTTTTTTGTAAATTTGGAAGTCATACATAATCAAACAACTTCTTTTACATGTATGTGTTTGAGGTATATAAATATTGAAAGTATGTCACAATAGAAATTGAAACGTTTCAAAAAAAAAATTCTGCGGCTTTTTCTCGTATATGACTCTCTCTCTCTCTCTCTTTGCTGATGGTATTTTCTTTCTCTGTTCTTTTTTAAGTTAAAAAAAGTGATTATTATAAATTGCGGAGGATATACGTGAGTTCCCTCTCCCCTTAGCAGAACTATTAATCATAAAAAAAAATTGAGAAGACAATGTATTTATATATGTATAGATATGCATAATAATAATAATATTCGTGTCTATACCTATAAAACATAATCTTTCATGTGTACATTTTTTTTACCTATAATAATGTATATACTAACATATTTACTACTTGAGATCAATCAAAAAAAAATTGTGGCTTCATACGTGAAAAATTTGTGCATAGAGAATGACAACACAGGATCAATAAAGTTTTAACTGTTCACTTTTGTTGAAGAACTCATGTTCCTTTTTTTTGTCTGTTATAATTTTAGCAGATAAACCAACTAGTTTCAGTAGTTAAAACACACGCTATTTTTTATCACTTGAAAGAGTTTAAAGAGAAGCACTTAATAGAGCTTTCGCCAGTGTACCGAGAAACGCAGTCATATGATCAAACTTACACTTTGTTAAAATTTATTTCGTTTGATTCTTCACTGAAAATTAAGGTGACAAAATTTTTTTAGACCTTAGTATCTCTTCGGTTTCGAGCTATCCACATTTTTTCTCAAGGCACCAGAAAAATACAACATGTTCTTGCAAAATTTCACTATGTTCCTCTTTTCATTCACAAAAACGAAGCAGATTTCTGTACTCAGCGTGCAAAAATGCATCGAACAAGGTACATTTCACGTCGTTTCAAAACCTTTTCTTCCGGCTCAAAAACTTCGTCCTTGGCCCCCCCCCCCCCCTTTTTTTGGTCAACAGGAATTTTTTCTGGAGTGTCAATTTTTCCGCAGCGATATCTTGTCTGGATGTATTCATAACACTGAGATCGTTTTTGGAAAACACAGCCTATGAAATCACCAATTTCTTAAAAAAATGTTTTAACGCTATCTCGGTTAGCAGAAAATTTTCTAAAAATCGTTTATTTCACAGGCTGCGTTCTCCAAAAACGATCGCAATGTTATGAATGCCTCCAGACAAGATATTTGTGATACCTTGAGAAAAGTATCGATCTCTCAAAACCGAGGAAGTACTAAGATCTAAAAAAAATTTCGTTACCTTAGTTTCCTGTGAAGAACCGAACGAAATAGATTTTACCATATGATGGCCTGTGAAGGAAATCCTCGATGTCGTTGAGAAACCTCTCTTAATATTTGGAAAGCATAAAGCAAACGATAGAATATGAAAAAACAAAGATATTAGATGAATTGTGAAACAGGACTTGATGAAATTAGAAAGTGAATTTTAACATGGCTAGAAGTGTGACATAATTTGATAGACAAACATGTTAAAGAAATCTTTTTTCACTTTCTAATAATATTGAAAAGAGTGCTTTGCTAAAATAAAATAAGCAACTACAGTCAGCCTATTTCCAAGATCTCTTTAAATTCTATAATTTAAAATATCTAATTTATTTGAAAAACTAATCAAAATTCAATTACTCATTTACAGGGCTGCCGTTACTGGAGAGAATGGGGGGCGACACCCCTCCAAAAATTAAAAATCCTCGTCATTTTCAGGACGCAATATTTTTTTTCTTGCGTTCTGTGGAAAAGAAAACCTTGTCTTAATGGAGCAATTGGGGGGCGCCCCCCCCCCCCCGCGGGGGGGGGGGGCCGGGGCCCCGAGGGTGAGAGTAAAAAAAGAAGAGGNCCCCCCCCCCCCCCCCCCCCCCCCCCCCCCCCCCCCCCCCCCCCCCCCCCCCCCCCCCCCCCCCCCCCCCCCCCCCCCCCCCCCACCGCGCCCCACCCCCCCCCCCCCCCCCCGCAGAGGCTGACTGATCGCGACAGCCCTGCTCATTTAGAACCAAAATAGCGAAAGCGACATCCACATTTTTTGACTTCTTGCATTAAAAAAAAGAGCGACGTACATACCGTTTATGAAATGTTGCGAAAGTCTTTGGCTTTATTCTTTTTTTCTCTTCACTTGCAACACTTGTTTAGCGATCATCTTATTGATATAAGTTTATGTATATAATTAAAATTAAAATGTCAAATCTACAAAAAGAACAGTTTGAAACTATTTACAGTTAAGTGTTAGTTAAAATTATTCTTGATTTAAGTTTTAATCTTGAACCAGAACGAAATCGAGAACATGAATTCCCATTATATCATTCTGAAACTTAAACTAACACGAAATCAATCCGTGCACGAAGCTAGAATCGAACACACGAACTTGATCTTTGCAGGCGCTAAAACGTTAAGGATATTTTCAATTTTTCAAGGAATAAATCATAATGGAAATTCGTACTTTCTCTTATCTGTTTTATTAAAAGGATCATAACAGAACAAAACTGTCTATAAAACAAAACGACTGAAAAACACAAGAGAAAAAAATAGGCAGCCGCATGTTTGTAATGTTGTTATCTCAGGCATCGTAAGATTTGGATTCATTTGTAGCATGGCATCCGGCACATGAGTGACTGCTCAAAATGGTTTCATGGATCGCTTTCAATTGGCATAGTGGTAGAAGAAGTAGTAGAAAATTCAATTAACATATAAGTAGTATTTAGTAGTAGAAGCTCTAAAGAAGCATAGTGCACTACTGATAAAGTTTACAGTATAGTAGCGATGCATTATAACGACAGGATCCCATCAAATACAATCGTGTTAAAAAAACTAACAGTTTATGACGTCTCAGCTTTTAATTTCTACAGGGATTGCAGCACATCAGATGAGAGTTTGTGCATTTGTCAGCTAGGGACGTTACGAATCCGAATCTACGTTCGAAGTTCGGCTTCGGACATTTCAAGTTCGAAGATGTTCGATGTCGAAGTGTTCGGCTTTCGAACTCGAACTTAAGTTCGAGTTCGCTTTTGGGTTCGGAAGTACGAGTTCGACTTTAAATTAACGTTAACGCAGATTACCAGCAAGGTTGGCTAGACAGAAGTCCAGTTTACACATGGTCGGGACCATCCTCCGACGGGACTGGGATTGGGACCAAAAACGTTTTTTACCAGGACACATCTTCACATCTACGTCATGCAAACTTTATTAATCAACAATTTTCTCCGGCACCACCAAAAGTTTCCGGAACCAAAACTGAAAAAACTTTCTGGAACCGAGACGGGACTGAAAAACCTTGATCCCGCCCATGTCTAGTCCAGTTTGAGAATTTTTTTCTTCGTCCTTTTAAACACAAATGTACTGTCTTTTTTAACAATTGTGACTCATCTTTTGTGTACACGTGTTCTTAACACATACATATCAAAACAAAATAAATCTATGTTATTCACGCTTTTGTTTGCAGCAAAAACTGTTTTTTGAGTAAAAGTGCGAAAGTGAAATGAAAACATTAATATGTGCAAAATTCGTGTTTAGGAGAGTATATAATAATTGTCTGATTATCTACTTTACTTTGTTAAATATTTGACGTCGAACTCGAACTCGAATGTCGAACTTTGCTCGAACCCGAACTTCGAACGTTCGGGTTCGTAACATCCCTTCTGTCAACCGGTATTGTTGATCAGTGTCAAAAGAAGCGGTGGATAGTTCGATTTTATTAAAACCTGAAGACGAAAACATACTTTAATACCGTCTGAGAATTGAGCACCTTTTGTGACGAAAGTATTTTTGAACTATAATAACTCTGCAGCATGTAGTTTTATGAAAGCAGAAAGAAAGACGGTTAACTAACAGTTTAACAATGCTAATATAGAACGTTAGCCCTTCATGAATCAGCTAGTTTAAGAAGGTCAATTTGACCGAACATACTTGAAATTCTGTTAATACATAATTATTTACCCGGGATAGAAAAAAAGGCAAATGAGAAGGACAAGAATTAAGAGACTAAAGTGTTTAATAGATTTTAAGGTTTATAATTGAGATGAGAACTAAACTAATATGCATAAATACGATGTCTACGTAGTATACAATGTGACAGTAGTTTAAAAATGGCTATTGCGTATATTTTCTTAAAAAAGGTTAAAACTGGAAGAAAAATGAATCTTGTCAACAATTATATCTATCGTATTTTCGGAATGTCTATTATGTGTGCACAATTACTTAATACATCTAAACCATGTTCATTCATCTTTCAACTCATTTAAACACGCTTCATCAATTCATTTTCAAAAAAAAACTTTGAAAATTAATCAAATATGCATCGGTGCTGTGTCTCATAGAGATGATGCGAGTTGCTTCATTTGATTCATGCCTTATTTAGACTTTCAACTATGATAAGTGTGCATCTCTGTTACGTTTTAATAACTCACGAACAAATTTTAAATCGATGTTAGACAAAATAGCTTTAGGCCCAAATCATACATAAAATTCTATTAGTAATAAGTTTTTATTCAGGTGATCATCAAGTTCATAATGTTAATATATTTGAATCACTTGTAACTTAATGCTACTAATCTATGACTATTCTTTTCTGTAGAAGAAAAAGGCACGGATCACGTGCAAAGAAAAGAGAGCAGTTTTTAACGTTCTCAATGATCATTATTGTTTAGTGAACAAACGAATTTTTTTTCATTCTATAAAGCATTTATTTTAGAAGTATATAAACTCAAAATATAGAATTTTCATTTTGATAAAACCAAATGTGTCTTTTATTTTTTTGGACGACCGCATTTCTTTTCATTCTTGTATTCTTGATAGATTCTGCAACAGCTTAAAACTGCATCATATTGCCCACTGAATATTTACATACATATGTTTTTAGATTGTTTTCACAACTGCACATCTTCAGGATTGTTACCAAACGATTATTTTATATATAATCATCAAACGTAGCCCGTGGTATCGTGTTATACTGCAGTAATCAAGCACAGTACTCCATAAAAATAAGGAAACGCCTGTAACTCAAGAAGATTGCCAGGAAGATTACAATCTCACCTATCATTTCATGTATTCTACACTCTTTCATTTCCCATATATTCCAAGCAAAAGTAATAATATTGTTGAGATCACTCGTGTTGCTTCCCACTTTTATAGCGCGCTGTAACAACAGCATTCATTTTGATTAAAAGATATAGTATCACTTTAATTATAACAATGCACCATTCAATTGTAATATCAACTAAAGATCAAATTTTACCTTGATACTGTTACAACAACGTTTTAGAAGACTATGAAAAAAGTGTATCTATTGTTTATTTATCCTTCGTTGAAAACAATAAAAAACTATGATTATGTATTATCTCATGCTTTAGTAATGAGATTTGTATACAATGAAAAAGATGCATGCAGATGATTCTTCAAACAATGTTGGTTATTGAGAACTTTAAATTATAGAGAAAACTATTTCCTTGTCTACTATAAAAAATCACCGTCCTCTAACTAGTGAGAAGCTGTGCTCAAAAGAATATTTTTCTAGTTGAATTTGTTTGTTATTCATTGGAAAAAATTACATATGTCATCTGTTGTATGAATTGTAATATATTTTTTTGTAATTAATTATTGTTTAATATACAATAGCTGAAAGACACGAAGGAAGATAAACTCTTCTTCATTTTTTTTTCTTAAACTGAATAGAGATGATTCTTTCTGTATCGAATAGTGAAAAATTTCACGTAGAAAAAAATTATCTATTGTAATTTATTAGAAAATTATAAAAACGGACTGAGATATAAATGGTCGTTTTCTCATCTGCAATAAGTGATATAATATGAATTTTTTTTTTTTCTTCAAAAAAATTAACATAAGATCTCAGAATGGTCTATCTAGTTTTCGTATAGAAAAAGTATATTAGAAGAAAGTGACATTTATGAGTAGAAGATGGAAAACATTTTAACAAGGACTGTTGAATTTTTAAATTATTCGTGTGTCTTTACCCTGCTATGACTATAAATTATTCTTTTAATTTACTTTTATCATCAAGCTTATCATCAGACTAAATAGAGAGAGAAACATCAACACATCATTATCGATAAAAAAGAAAAAAACATTCTTTGAGTTCTTTAGGCGATTTGACTTTACCTGTTAAATGAGATATAATTTGATGATATATCTTGTTGATATGTGTTAACTTAATTGTATTCTGTTTTGCGAAGAAACTAATCAACGATAATTCTAAGATTATACACCTTATCCATTCTCTTTTCTCGAAAAAAACCCATAAAGATTTGAAAGACTGCAAAATAAAACATGAAATGACGATTAAAAATGAATGTTTGAATTAGCTGCTGTTGTTTTTTTCCAACAAGATCTATATCACTAACTTCAAAAATATCTTAGATCTTAGACTGCACTCCATATTTATTTAACATTAAAAAAAAAAAAATTAAAAGTAAAATGTGAAGAGACATTTAAAAAACACAAAAAATAATAATTTTATCGGACTCGACGACTGTGCTATGCACACAATTGCAGGCATATGTCTCTCAAATAAAACATGAGATTATAATCAATAATATACTAATTATTAACGTATACAAAATAGAAAAAAAAACGAAAAATAAACTACTTCAACTCATCAACTGCAAATAATTGCGTAGTCAATTGGTAGAAAAAAATAACTCATTACAAATGTTTATTTGAATGTTACACGTTGAGTAGTTACCTCGTTGATCATTACTGGATGATTATCATCATTTTCATCGGTACTTGTATGACCATGGGGACCTTCATGACTTCCCGTACTATCTTCGGGAGTTTTTGTTGCTTCATGTTCACTTATTTCTTTGTGTGTTGTTGATTTTGATTCTTTTTCTATACCTCCACCATGTCGTTGAAATGCTTGCATTGAAAATCGACGATTTTTACGTCGTTGTCCACGTTTTGTTAAATGAGGATTATCTTTTCTCATTGTCTTTGTTTTAAGTAAATGTAAACTTGTGTATAGACGTTTTAATTCAACCTAAAATATAAAAATTGATGATACAATTACATAAGGTATAAAGATGCTCCAATAAACTAACTCTGATATCTTCCGGATCCATATCTCGAATATTCAATTCACCAAATTCAACATCACCATTTAACTGTAATTTTGTGGTAAAATCTGACGGTTCAATACCATCAGGTAAAGAGCGAAATCCTGAAAAAGAATGAATTCATAGAAAAAAAGATTTTAAAAAAAATAAATTGACAAACAACTTACTATGATCTCGAGTGGGATGATCATCATTGGAAGGATAGAAGATGTAACATAACTAAAAGAAAAAAATTGAATTGATAAACTGTTTATTATTGTTTGATAAATTATATTACTTTTGTACAAAATATAAGAACAAGCATACAAGTCACGGTTGCATGACAACGGATAAGTGATAGAATAAATAAAACATCGGGATCTGCTGTTGACCATAGACAATCTCTGCAAAATTAAATGAAAAAAAATTGTATAAAATATATATATTGTTTGAACATTTCTTAAAGAAATACCTGATTATGTGTAATAGTGTAGAAAATATCATTTCGCAAGCAATACTAATTGTAATTAATTTTCTTTCATGATATTCGGATGGTGCTGTTCTTGTACTATAGATAAAACGTATTCCAACGCATAAAAAGGTAAATTCAGCTAAAATAACAAAAAATAAAATATATGTTTAAATCATTAGGATAAAATATTAACTATTTACCAATTTGTACTAGAAAATCCCACCATCTTGGTCTACATGCTTCAAAATAAAATTTATCTTTTGTTAAACCAGATCCCAATAAATTTCTTTGAAATTCTTTATCACTTGAATGATCAATATTTAATAATGTCCAAGCTAATAAGTAACCAATAATAGATATACAAATGAAGAACAATATGCGTAATATATCTTTTTCTTTAACTTGAACACAATGAGCTTTTCGAGATTGAAATTCAGCTAACATTCTAGAGTAATGAAGAAAAAACAAACAGTCTTGTATCTGTGTAAATGATATACCATATAACCAAATTTCGTTAATTACATACTTATAAACGCGTAATATCAATGTTCCATAAACTATCGTAAAACCCACTTCACGCAACCAAGGCATCAATAAACAAACCACAACATGTGGTTTAAACGAGTCGACAATAACCTGAAATGGTGAATATTAACTATTATTTACAACACTGAAATGATACTACAATGAGATAGGAAACTTTATAACCATGAGTATTGTACGAAAAGATGTTAATCTAAGCTATCACTTTTCGAAAGAGTACTCACCGATGCATAAAGTAGTGCCGCACCAAGTAATATTAACTCCAGTAATATCCACATTGAATGTTTGATAATCTAAACAAAAAGTATACCGTATAACAAATATGTTGTTTTTTTTTGTTGTTTTTTTAACAAGTGAACAACATATGAGAATTCTCTTCGATTTTTTTTTATACAACATTAAACATACAATTTACTATTACTCACTTTTGTCTTTCTTTTTTCAAAAACAATGACTGCTAGTACTGCAATGAAAATAATAAACACTGTTTGTATTCCAACCGTAATATATCTTAAAATTTTATTATATTCGGCTTGACATCCTGATGATTGATTGCATGTACATGTTTGTAAATCATTTGTTTTATTTGTTTCCAGTTCAAAACCTTTAATGATGAGTGTAAAATTGTCTTTTGATGATGTACATTTACATTCGTATGCACCCAATTGAAATCCGTAACCATGTAATTGAATACACTAGATAAAAGAATTTTAGCAGTTAAAATTGATAAATTATTGTGAAAATAATTTACCTACTTCCATATCTTTATGACATTTATTAGTACCACCAAATGGTACGTTATCCGATGCACATTGATTAATATCAACATTTGAGATGTTTACATATGTTACAAAAAAGTAGCTAAAATTAAAAAATTTGAAAGAGTTTGTTCATGATGACATGAGTACAGACAAAATTTGAAAAGTAAATTAAAGAATTGCAAAAATAGTTTCTAAATATAGAGTCTTTTTAACAGTTTTGATTTGTTGTATGGAGAAAAGATGTATATGCATTATGTATTCAGCTACATTCATTTTTTGTTTTTTTGCTAATTTATTACACCTAGACGTACTCGCTATGATGTGCTAACTAGAACTGCTAAGCAGCATATTTGGCAATATTTATCATTACGTATATTTTGTATGTATAAAAGATAGAACTATGCAAAATCATTTATACAGTCCTTTACAACTATTCAAATAGAAAACATTTGTCAACACAAATATCAAAAAGCACTTTATCCTCTAAGGAAGAAAAAAGACGGTTTTTCTAATTTGTATATGATAAATAACTAGAGGAAACTAGAAATATAGGATAAACTCAAATATCGACTTCCTGAAAAATAGTGCTTGCTTTTCTCTCTTTTTATCAAAATATGTCATTTCCAAATATATATATATCACTATAATTCCCTTTTTTTTTTTCTTCGACAACTTTCATAAACGAGTTGTCAATCTATCTATACACCACTGTAGGATGCTGTATACTTTATATGAAACACAACTTGATATCTACACTATATACTTCAGTTTCAACAAAAGATTTTGACATTTTCATCGATATTGAAACAAAATCAACAAAAACTCTTATCATATTTCACTCTATCTTGTTTTGATAAGTTGTTCACAGATATTTCCCAATAGTTTTAACTGATGAGTTAGATGTCAGTTGAAATACTATCGATAGATGTCTACTTTTTGATTATTCATTGACACATCTTTCTTCTGTGAACTTCATCACTTAGGATAAAAATGGATTTTCTCAATCGTAAGAGTATGATAGGATAATTGCTGTTTGTTTCAATACAAAATGTATTAGTAGCTTTTTTGTTTTTGTTTTCTTTTTTTTTTACAAAAGACAATATCATTTTATTATAAGAGTTAAATAATAAACTCTCAAGCACTTACTTCTCTGCTAATGGTAGAATATAAGCCATTAGATATTTTTCATTTTTATTATCACACAACACCGGTCCAAGCCACCATCCATCTTTCCATGGTGACCAATTACTTGTTGAATTTTCTCCTGTTGATGAATTTGACGTTGTTAATTTTTTATTATTCCAATTTTTAAGTGTTTCATACGCATTGACTGCTCCAAAGTCAAGTAAAATATTAGTTTCTTTTGTTGTTGTGTGAGTAATTTGTTCATCGATATCATCAATATCACCGCCATCGACAGATACATACATTCTGTAATAACGAATTGAATTATAATATGTAAATGAAGTGAGTTCATGTGTTGTTATCAGAATTTCTTTTATTTCTTTAAATTTTGATAATAGTATACGTAATTCATGTCCATATTCTTCATGCAGTCTTGATATTGAAAAATCATTAATCAGACTTGTTGATGTACTTAATTTTGCTTTCATTTTGAACGCTAATATTTTGACTGATTTTAATTCTTTTATGTACTTTTGTTTAATTAATTCAATAATTTGTTCAGCAGCTGAATTTGACTGTAGTTTTTGATAATAATCAGTGGGCATGTTTAGTGTACAATCGCGAATATTGGAACTTGTACGATCAGAAAATACTTTACGTATCAATGTCATATACGAATATTTATCAATCGATGATGATGTAATACCTCCATCAATATGTTTAAATTGTCGTTTTAATCTTATATATTTTGATGTTAACGTTATATTGGATATAGACAACGACGTTGTTGTTGTTGCCGTTGTTAATGATTGACTCGATACACTTATCTTAGTTGAAAATACGCTACCAATTATAACTACGAATAATAAACCGATAATGAAATGTGAACATATATAGAGTAGATAAAGAAATGCATTTTTCGTATATTTTTGAATTAGAGACGAATGAGACGATTGTCCATCGTCATTTGATCGTTTTAGATAGTCGACATAGTGATGATTGTTATATTGAAACGATAATTTCATATAGGAGACATATTTTAATAATTCATGTTGTTCTTCTTTCATTATAGCCAATTGTTTAAATATTATTCGTTCATCGTGCCATTATATTGTTCGCTTTTATTCATATTTGTGCTGTATCGAAGACATACTCGACTAAAATACAAATATATTATTAATCTACTCATTTCTAAATTCATAAATAATAACTTATAGAAATGTGTTAAATTTAAATTCTCTTCATTTCTCGTGTACACATAATACAACGAAATTTGCTAGCCTCATAAAGATACAGGATATTCACTTAGTTTTCTAGAGATTTAATCTTTAATTTCATTTTAAAGTGAGCCTTTTTTTTCACAAAAACTCATGATCACTTACATAATGTTTGACAATAACTTTTGCTAAGCTCTCGTTTGAATATCGATTTACCTTTATATTTACATCGATAAATTGTATACATGAAATGTAACTTTTCAAGAATTGAATATTCTACCTAAATTCTATATAAGTGGTTGCAGAAATCTTAAGAGCACAAAGACGGAAATTAATCACATAGTTTTAATATAAGTTTAATGACATGAGTGTATAAATTTTAAGCGATTTTATGAATTTACAATATTAATTTGTTTCCGTATACGGATCAACACAACTCATAAACTATATATATCGTCTGAAGATTTTTATTTGAAATAATTTATCCCGATATTAAACATCAGACTTATATAAGCATTTTATCTGAACATAATTTTTGAGGTTAGTTTTTATAATATACAATCTGTTTCATAAAATCTTAGTTTTTTCATTATCTATTGATTATACTATGAAGATATGCCTTACCAAAATATTAATAGCACAATGAATTTGTTAGATAAATACATACAACAGCACCAAATAAGAGGAATAAGATCAAAAAAGAGATCTTGTTCTGGTTTTTTGTGTTCTCTGTTCTTTTTTTTCCTTGTTGTTTTATATTCAATATATAATTTTTGTTCCTATTCAATATTTATGTGTAAATAGAATTATGTATTCGGCTTCTTTTCTCCTTCGTTTTTTTGACTATGTGCTAGCTATTTATTTCTTTTTATTCTTCTAACATGGTTAACATATATCGGTTTTTGTCTAGAAAAATACGGAAAAAAAAAAAGACGACGATGTATTCTACAACAAAATAATTGATCATTTGTTTTTTGACATTTATTTGACTATCTAATGAATATCCATCACTCTTCTTTTTCTACTTCTGCCATCATAATCAACAAAACTCTAATTATTAAGAGAAGAAAATAAATGTGCACATGTTCATTAAAATATCTGTCTACATTCTAATTATACCACATCATCGGGAGAGAGAGAGAGAGAGAATATTCATGAAAATGTTGATGATGTTGAACGAGAGGAAAAAATAGAAGAAAAAAATGCGGATTGATCATCTGCTATAATAATACGGGCATAGATATCTTGCAAAACTTTTTTTTTCAAAAGAAAAAAAAAAATGATAACTTTTTTTCTTTTTGTTTCACGACGATTTGAGAGAGAAAATAAATGGAGAAGAAATTTTGACTCTGATGAAAATGAAGAGAGATCAAAAAAACGGAAAGAATGAACAAAATAAGAATGTGTGTGTAAGAAAAAGACAACATAAGACATCATCATCATCATCATCATCATTTATAAGAAAGCAAAACAGCCATCATTGTGGTAACAGCAGAACTATATCATGGAGTATATATAAGAAAAAGAAGAAAAATACTGATGACAATGACATGATGTCGATAACAAATACTTTAATAAGAAATGAAATCTAATACACATCAGATTCTTCTTTTTTTTGCTTTTCTGTATAGACAACAATACTTGGGCAAAAAGGACAAGATAAAATAATATCCATAATAATGAACCAAAACGCGCGAGTTACACAGTTCTCCTTTTTTTTTTCTCTCTTGTTTTTTGATTGAATAGTCACTCATTTATTTTAGAAACGCAGTTGTACGATCACACGAATTCACAGTGTAAGATTCATGCAAGGTATTCTGTTCGACATTTGAATAAAAAAAGAAATTTTCAATTAAAATATAAAATATTCATATAAAATTTGATTATACACTACAAATAATATTACAGATTTAGAACTATAACTACTATTCGTACTCTCGACAATAGACACAAAATATTGATTAATATTTTTAAAAATAAAATAAAACAAAAGAACATATGTCCACTTTAATATTTCTTCAAAATTGTAGTACATTGTACAAATTTCAATGTGTTCATTCACTGTTTTTCAAATATACAACTCTGTTGATTTCTCTTCTACTTTACCTTTGTATTTAGAAAAGACTCAATTTTTTGCATGACTCTTATAGCGTTAACTATTAACAAAACAAAAATTATCTTATTAGCAGTTATCAGTTAGCGACCGTACGATTTTCATTCATATGTAAAAAAAAAAAAGAAATTTTCTTGACACATATAAAAAAAAAAGAAAATAAACAATAGAATAAGATTGCCCAAGAGTCTAAATATATTCTATACAATTAGTTCAATGTTTTCCTGTTTAAAAATAGTCAAAACATAATTCGAGTCAAACAATGGTTTATTTTTCTGTTAAATTATTTTTGTTTTGTTTTGTATCGTATGTCTATGAATAATTAAACGTAAGTATATATATATATATATATATACACGCATTTTTAACTAAATATTTGTTAGAAAGTATATAACTGGTCTCAGATTTGATGCCTACTTATTCGGATCGATAATAAAAAGAAGAAAAAAAAATTGTAAAAATACTTACTCAAACAATTTCATTATGAATCTAAAACATATTTATGAACATTGTTTTTTTATTTTATGATCAACAAGAAATTATGTGCATAATTATCTTTTAAATAGATGAACATGTATATATATAATAGTTATAACCGATGCTCTCTCTCATTCTACCTAAGAGTTTAAAACTCATTCAAGGTATAGAAGATTGAAAGGAATAAAAGGAATTGTTTTTGTTGTTGTAATAGTAATAATAACTAAAAAATGTTTTTTTTTTCTTTCTCGTTTAATGATAGAACAACCTACACATACACACGTTTTTTAAACTCTTTTTCTAAGATAGATCTTATAAAGGAGATTATTTTTCTTTTCAAAATACTTCAGTAGGAGAGATTGCGAGGGGTAGGGCTCTAGCAGCACAGTAACCTTACGCATATACTCGCACACATCATAGATCATAAAACATTTATCTCCCTCTCCCTCTCTCTCTCTCTCTCTCTCTCTCTCTCTCTCTCTCTCTCTCTCTCCCTGTCTCTGTCTCTCTCTCTCTCTCTCTCTCTCCAGTATTTTATATAGAGAGTTTCTCGTTAATAACACAGTTCCATACTGACGTTCCTATTTCTTCTTTTTTTCTAAGGTTATATTCCTTTAAAAAAACTCGATAAAAGAAAAATATCATTCGTAGAAAAGAAACAAAAGAAGAAGACTTTTTTCGTTTTCTTTTTTTTTCTGTATTACCTAAATTTATTAACAAGCAAAGAATTTTTATTATAACATAAATCTATCTCGTAATTCTCACCGGAATTCTTCAACGGTCGCTTCCTTTAAAACTGAATTGACACAAATGTATATATGGGTAAAATTGTTACGCTTCTCCAGCGCAATAGTGAGTTCTCTTTTCTTCTGTTCTATTTTCTTTATTTTTTATTTTCTCTGTACTTCTTTGTCTGATTCTATCTTTTAACGTCGTTGTTGTTGCTGTATTTAGAACTCTCTCTCTCTCTTTCTATTATCAGTGGAATATTATCTTTTCTATGATAAAAAAAGGAAAAAAAAGCGTTTTTCAAGACATTTTTTCGTTCTTTTTCATTTCAATTTTTTTTTGAACATATTAAAAAAATATATTTTCTTGCTGTTTTTAGAGATGAATTATATATATAGACTATATATATGTGTGTGTGTATGTTTCATTGTATATGTAATATAAACGAAAAGAACAAAAAACCGAGAACTCTTTCACTCTCTTTCTGTCGTATAAAGATATGCGTCGGTTTTTAAACGATTATCGGTAGTCTATATATATTATTTCTTCACTTTTCTTGTTGTCTTTCGATAAAAAAAGAAAAAAAGAAGAAAATTAACATCGACACATTTTAGAATCGTTGACAATTGTCACACACATACACTAAGACAAATAGAATTATACATGATTTGTTAGATTAAAATAGAAAACTAAAAGAACCTCGAGCTGCATTGACAAATGAACTTAAAATCAAATTCTTTTTTTTGTTTTGTTTTTTGTTAAAGAAATGAGGCATTTATTTGAATAGTAACAATTCTCGATAAAATATTAATTAGAACGGATAAAAAACAATAGCATTTTACGAGTATAATTATGTTTAAAATTGTAAAAATAAAATAGAGTTACAACAATCTTGTTTATTTACTGTTTGATATAGTGAATAACTAATTGTATGTAAAATAAAATAAAAATAAAAAAATTAAATTTTTTATTTTTATTTTCTATGATTAGAATATATTTAACTTTTTTTTTTTTTTGAATAAAAACAATATGTTAGTTCTCACTCTCTAAAAATTTATTATTATTTTGTAACAATTTAAGTGAATAAACTATGTCCATTTTAATAAGGAATCGTTTCATTTAACTTTGATTGCTTTTTTTTCTTTTCCACTTGCAGAAAAAAATCAATGAACTTTATAATAGATGACAAAAATGTGTAATGCGTGTGTGTGTGTGTGTGTGTGTATATATATATATATATATATATATTTTACTCGCTATATATAGATTCTATGAAATGTTCTAGATGAATTTTTATTGTAAAAATACACTGCATCCATCTAGACTATTATCAACCTTGTTTTCTAAATTTCATATTTTTGTAATCAACTCTAATGATTAACTTACGTGTTATCTATATGGATAAGCAAACATAAAGCTGATGTTAATGGTGATTGACTTTTGTACTAAATAAAAAGAAAACATAATAGAGATCATCATTTGTTAAATCATTAACATATCCTAAAAACATTCTTCAGTCTGATAAATATATATTTTTTTTCCTACGACAAAAAATTCTAAATTTTTACAAATTTTTACTATTTTCTATTCCATTAATATACCTGAACTTCTTTGTTTAAGAATCGCCTATATTTTAATGTACCTAAGGCATTATATTATTTAAGTTTGTTTTTTGTTGTTTTTTTTTTGATAATGTTTTCTATATAAGTTTTCTTAACCCCTTGCAGACACACCTCAATCAATCTAGTAATTGTGTTAAAAAGATAATTGAACACCCATGCATTTGAATCATATATAGAATGTGTTGTTGATCCGATCGAGAATTTTATTTCTTATTTTTTTCATTTCCATCATAATTCATTTTTCTAGTTGCGTCGTCATAGACTATATAGTCTATTTTTTTTGTTTCTTCTTCTCATCACATAATAGTGATTAATTTCCAATAAAAAAAAAGTCATTCTCTAGAATATTTTAACCGATTTTTCTTCTTCTTCTCTCTGTCTGTTCGAACGGAAATTATAACTATATAGATAGATATGAAACGGATAAACCATGATTTCTTCGTTTTACTTGTTGTTTTCAGCGGTCCTATCCGAAATTCTCACTAAGTCAATCTATATGGATCAAGGCCGAGTTTATTCTAGAAAAATACTCATTATTTCAAGTGAGAACGGCTTCAAAATGAACTTGATGCACTTGTTACGAAGAGAGAGAGAGAGAGAAAATTTCGGTATACCATATTTGATATTTCTTTTCTTCAATCATTAAAACAGTGGAAATGACTAAATTTTTTGAAGAGCTGCTTTATAAAAATTCTTTCGATAAAAATGTTTGTATGCCCGATGAAGAGTGGTCGAATAATTTCGCTCAAATAGCGAATCAATTGAAATGAACAACCCACTTATCATGAGAAAAATGCGGAAACTCATTTTATTTCATTATATTTATGATGAACAAGAAAAAGAAAAAGGCTTCGGCATCCACTGTAGCCTTATGGAACATCATTTTCAAAATATTATTATTATTATTATTATTATTTAGATAAAGAATAATTTCACAAGTCTAATATAATCGATTTGTAAATAACCGAAATATCGAAAATAATTTTTCCCATATTCTAAAAAGTCTATGAACTATTTTCTGCCAACAAAATGGTAATATATTAAATAATACGAGAAAAAAAATGAAGTAATATTCAAATTATTACAGGTATTAATTAATCTTATTTAATTATTTCAACATCAAACAAAATGTATATACGGGCTAAATCATTTTTCAGAAAAGTTCAACTATTTGCTCACAAATTTCGCTATGCTTTTACTCTTTCAAAAAGTATCATTTAATTTGTTGTATTGCAAAAATATCTTATTCGAATGATAAATGCATAAGTTGCGTGATCATATTTTCTTATGATTTTATAGTTTAATTAGGAAAGTGTTATAACAAAGCAAAGTTTTAACAATAAGAACAATAACAATCAAAAATAAACACAAATTAACACAGTGTTCTAATGATAGAAGGAAGAGGGTTCTTGTTGATTTGGCAGTCTTTGATTTGTTGTTCTATTATTGGTATCGTTAAACAATGATGGTGGCGCTTGCCATGCTGATTGAGTATTGGGAAATTGCTGTTGTGGTAATCCCATATAATTAGAATTCGATTGTCCATGCCACAAAATTGGTGGTTGTGGTGATCTCCAGTTTGTTTGTAATGGTGGTCGAGGATGATATGGTTGACGATAATTTGATTGCCTAGGTGTCCAATGTGGATTTGATGATTGTTGATTAGAATGAGGAGATTGTTGAAACCAATTTGGTAAAGATGGTGGTGGACGTCCACGTTGTTGTTGATGTTGACCGCGATTTCGTCCACGTCCTCTATGTCTACCATTACGCTTTGATCCCCTTGAACTAAACGTATCACTCGATTGTTCAGAAATCAAGCTAAAAAGTATTCAAAAATAACTACAGATACGGTATGTAGTAAAAGTGTAGTAATGCATACCTTTCAATATCATCATAATCACCAAATCCTTCTGAAAGTGACATACCTTCATCTCTAACATTATCTTTAACGTCACCATGATCATCATTTCGATTTTGTTTTTTCTTTTTTCGTTTATCTTTTGCTTGTTTTTCTTGATCATCATCACTATAGTCAACAAGTGTCGTAGGCGGTTCATGATCATCTTTCCAAGATGCATCTGAACCTTTTAATGTTAATAATTCTTTAATAAATACATATTTTGTATAAGTTGTCTCTTTAGGTGCATAATAAACATCTTGTCCTAACAAAAGTTGTCGTTTTTTAATCTCATCTATATGATTAAAACGCATGAGATAATAGGGTTTAATAACTGGTCCCAATGTTTCATAGATTAAACCAATTGATTTTCTTTCACTATTGAACAATACACTATCATCATTTAATGGTGATGAATTTAATAATGATTCAACGATAACATATTTTTCTTCAATTATATAACGTACATGACCAATTTTTTCAATTTGTGTTTCATCACTTAATGTAATAGTTAAATTTTCAATCGGTGGCAAATCATCGATTGTCAATTCATTACGTGTTCGAGGACCATGTCGATTTGCTAATAATTTTTTTTCATCATCATCCGAATCAAAAGCTTCATCAATTACACTAGAAAAAAAAATAATAAAACAATAATTTTAAATATGAATTTTAAATTTCTATTTTGAAATACTTACTCAGTTCTTACGCTTGTTATATCTGATGAAGATGATGAACTATCTGAATCATCTTCGGAACTTGAAAATATTCGACGTTTTGGTCGACGATGTGTTCGATTCAATAGTTTATTATTTTTTAAATTTACGGAATCATTAGTAGATAATTGTAAATGAATATCATCAATCAAATCAATTAAAACTTGTTGAACAATTTTAGGAATATCATTGTTTACACACGGTTCAACTATCATAAAATTATTGGATTTGATATCTAAATAAAGTTATAAAATATTTTTTTGTTAAACTTTTCAAAACAAAAAGCTCAGATTACCATCATTCCATTCGATATCTTGATCTATTGGACAAGATACTACTAGTGATCTAAATAAGGTAAAAAAATAAAAATAAAAATACTTGATGAACAGAACATAATACATACTCTTCTTCAACTGACATTTTTAAGTGTATTCTATCGAAAATTATTTTATAACATCTATAAAAAAAACAACTTGTTGTTAATATAAAAAGAAGAAAAACTTAAATGGTATTAAACACTTATCATGCTCTTATCAAAAGTTCTATCCTATTTGACAATAGGGCAGACTTTTTTTTTGTTAGCAAAAAACTTGAAACTGTCGTAGAAATTATAAGAAGATAGATTTATTTGACTAATCTTCATTTACTCTAACTCTTGTAATAAATTTAATTATCGATACAAATTCTAACTAATAATAGAAAGAAAACAATGAAGACTAATCTGAATCATATCGTTTGAATCTTTCAAGTTTTTTCTACCGTTGAAAAATAGATTTGCATATGAAACAACACATACGCAACAGTATTCTGTTTTACTATAAAAAAAAAAATAGCATAAAAAATCAGATATAAATAAATAAATATCAAAAGAAAACAATTACAGAAAGTTTTCTATTCGTCATAATTTTATTTACAAAAAATAGAAGAATTGATGAATTGGAAGAATGAAATCGTCGCCCTTCACCGATATTGAACATTGGATGTATATTTTGTTTTATTTTCGATAATCTTCATCATCACTATCTGGCATAGTCATCACATCACTAACTATTGATCACATGTGATTTTCAGCAATAACTGTACGTATCGCATTGTGCACGACTACATCACACGTTTTTCTGTAGTTTCTTTTAATTGTGTTAAAACTCTCAATGCTTTGAAACTATCTGCTGATGTACACGATTTGCCAAACCTAAGATGAAACCAACATTTAATGCACTTGATCGATGTATGTTTACGCATCTTTTATGTACCATCTGTACATATGACAATCTTTGATCTTTGACGTTTTTATGCTATATACAATGCAAACATGACATCTGAACCCAATGCTGTTCGTCCTCCTTCTTCCGAATCATAAACAGATCAATTAATTTTTTTTTAGTTTCTTTAATTGCTTTTAATTCATTAATATTTTCTTTTTCAACTTCTCGAAGTAATTCTTCTTTTGAATTCAATTTATCATCACGGATAATCAAAAGATCTTTCGTTCTGTCACCTTAACAGAGGAATGATACAAAAATGTGGCATTTTAGTAATAGAAGATAAAAGTGTTACGAACGTATTATGATACGTTAATTCAAGATTGTATGTGAGAAAACCAGCACATCTTGTTGAATCTTCCTTAGCCAATTTATCTAAATTGGCATTCACAGCCATCAGATCGCACATTGGATCGGAAAATTTGATTCAAAAACCGTGCATATTTCGTTTTCTTCAAGAAAGGAAAATGGTCATTTCCACAGTATGGTCTTTAAAAACATTTCATTTGTGGATGTATTTTACTGAGATGAGATGCTATTGTATCACAAATCCTACATATAATAAAATCATCAGCATGCACTGAAAATGACAGAAAAATAGTACCACTAAGTATCAACCTTAATTTAACTTACTTGCAGTTGGTTGAAACCTCTTAGAGATAAAGGCGTTACAATTCTATTATGTTCTTCATCTTCGCCACTTGAATCAGATAATTCTTCTTCACTAGAATTGTCATAATTCTATACTTCGTACTTCGATCCAAAATCCATCTGAAAAACCAGAGAACACATAACATTATTTTATATATTTTTTTTCACACAGTAAGACATAAAAGCTTAAGAAAGAAACAAGGTCAGAACTTCAACTAACGTCGTTAGTTCGTAGTTGTCGAACCAAATCACCACAAAGTTTAACACGCAAAAAACGGAGTAGACACAAATATTTTTACCTTCGACTCATCAGATGTCCTTTAATCAACTAATTTTTCTCAAGTCTACGAGTGCACTAGGATGAATAATAAGTGAACGCTTTCCAGCTCAAAAAACATTGTGAACTTTATGTTCAAACAGAAAATACATGCATAAACTCATTTCTATTGAATGTCATATCACAGGCCCAATTCAAAGTTTAGAAACGAAGAATTAACAGATGCGATTAAATAAAAAACTGCATCTATTGAAACTATTACTTATAAGATGTAAAAACATATTTTACTTCTTATATCCTATCTGCGTCATTTGTAGACAATTTCAAATAATGAAAAATAAATAATGGTAAAATAACTGTTGAAAGAATTGTTCCTTTGATCTTTTTTACTATTTTCTTTGACAAAAAAATCCCTTCAATAATTTTTTAGAAACTAAAACAATAAAATCTAAACTTATTCTCTATAGTTTTTTACGAAAATTAATGTACGACACTACTCATAAAAGAAAATATTATCAACAAGAAATTTAGCACGCGATCAAATTGTCCATGCAAGAAGTATATGGACATTCTTTGACTTTTTAATGTTTTTTTTATAAAACTAAGTATATTTAATATAATTGAAAAACATTTTTGTAAAATCATTTTACATAAAAAGCGAGCTTTCGATCCTTCGCAGTATTATAATCAGGTTCGCAAGAAGTAAAAGGAAGATGGATTGCTTTATCTATCTATTTATCTGCATATCTGACAAAAAACTATTAATCATCAGTCTATTTATTTTAGAACTAGAAAAAGAAAACAAGGAATCATAAGTAAACGGATGTATACTTTTAGAGTGAAAAGATAGGTAGGATTCATGTAGATATTGCATAAAAAATAGAAAAATAATTTATTTACCGACAGTAGAGTATGTCGACGATTTCTTAAATCAATAGTTCCACTAGTGTATATTTTTGTCGAACATTCCATTGCATTTCATAAATGAGAAAATGAACATTCTAGCCAAATGTTGTTAAATAACAGTTGATTATTTGACCATGTTTATTTGTTGTATAAATGTTTATGTGTAAATAGTTCTTGCAGCGAGTAGGTAAATAATATGACTGGTCGTTGTAAATCGAAAGATTGTTTATGTGCATGTATCAGTTTAAATCTTAGTAATTTTGCTGCCTTAATACTGTTGGATAGGATGATGTGAAACGTATTTCGATTCAATAAACATAGATTTAGATTGTTTCAATTGTCTATCGATACATAGATGAGTAGATTCTGCTCGGTGTACGATAGTTGTTGATGTAATAGCGATCCTTTTAATAACAATGTTGATTAAACGGTATTTTTGATTAAGTGATGATTGATTGATGAAATGCTGTCAGTCTTAGTTAAGACATTAGATCAGAGACGGTTTTATCAATCATTTATGCGGTTTGCATAATACAACATTTTTTTACGGTTCCAGGATACAATTATAAAAACGAAGATATATGAGATAGAATGCCAAGAGCATAGATGGAAATGTTACATTCGAGCACATTATTAACATTCGAAATATACGATTCTTCATATTTATGGTCAGTTGAATCGTCGAATAAGTTATAAACTGATTATCTGGAAGTTTATTATCTAGAAATTTATCCAACGATCTGATTTTTGTTGAAATAACTTATCTCTTTATTTTTCCAGTTTTTTCATGATTTCGAAGATCAATTGCCCACAAGTTGTGTAAAACTTTCAATATGTGTGGTGTAATAGATTTTAACGTTTGTTAATGTCGATATCGATTTGTTTAAATTTTTGTGCGCGTATAGCAAGTAGTTCAGTTTCAGGGATGAATTGTTGTTTCGTGAATCGAAAACTAATGTTCAGCCAAGTTAAATCGAACTACTTTTGTTTTTCACGGAAAAACAACAAAACAGTTGCAAAATTCGTCTGAATGTAATTTTTTCCTGCTATTTACTGATTCCTTTCTGACTGTGGAATATCTCACGAGAAAACCTTCCAGATGATCACGTTCGCTTAAGCTCATATTTTACTGATAAATAGACTTGATATTTACACGAAAACGTCCAAAAGGATTTGAGTGATTGCGGAGTTATGGTCGGTTTTACAGTTAGCGTTAAGGTTTTACAAGGTTATTCCATCTTCATTAGCGTTTTAACCGCTGAAATTTTTATCAATGATTATATTCTGTTGAGTAACCAAGGCATTCACTTTATGAAAAACTTTGTCAAAAATAGCTTTTTACTAGTCAAATCTGGATCGAACTGAGCCGAACCAGAATTTTTAAATTTTGTCAATCACGATGGGAAAACTTCGGTTCGTTTCGGTTTCTGTTACATACTGATCAGATATATTTATGACAAAAATGTTAGCACTTAAAATTATTTCTTTTAAGTTTTTCTTACAACTATCGAACCTATCTATCAGTAAAATATGAGCTTAAAGGGGCTTGATCACTTGGAAAGATTCTCTCGTTAATGAAACCACATTGCAAAAACTTATAGGATTAGATGTCTCTATCTATCAGATACGATTAATTGACGAGCAGGAACATAAAACAAACATTCGTATACATACTGACTCACGTTAATCAATGTCGCAGAAGTGATCGACAAGAAGTTTAACAAGATTTCTGTCACAGTTCCAGAAAAGCTAATTTCGTTTTATCGTTGACTTAAAATGTACACAACAAGAAATTTGGGCCTATATTTTACTGTTTTTATCCAAGCAAAAATAAACTATATTAAAAAAGTTAAGAAAACAAATAAACTGTAATTTGAAAAAGAGAAAATAAACACAAATCAAATCATTAACTATGAAGAAAAAAGGATGAGATCTAACAATGTGTTTCGTTGGCAAAAAGGTACACAATTGTAGAAAACCTATTTAGTGCGTATCGAACACGCCTAAGTACAAATATAAAAGCACTTGATACAACAAAAAAAAACTACGGAAGATTTTCACACGTAAATAATGAGTTGTAAGAAAAATACATCTCAATGTGAAAAAACGGGATTATACACTACTATTTATCGATGTTGCTGGTTCTGACAAATATTGCTTTGAAAATTGATTCAATTGTTGATCAATCCAATCGGCTTGTTTTTTTAATACTTTCGCTTTATCATTATATAATAATAATTGATCAATTTCTTGTTTTAATTGTTTTAAATAATCACAAATATCATCTTTTTCCATATCAACATAACGTATTGTTTGTGCAAAATACATGCTCAATTCTTGTTGTACCTGAGCACTAGCATTACCACTTGTCATATCAACAATTAATTTCATTCTTGAACTAGCATAATCAGCATATTGACGTTTAAATTTTCTTTCTTGAGCTTTCTTTGTCCACATTAAACGTTCATATAGATACAACGAACCATATAAACCTCCAACAACACCCAATACTTTCCAGCCAACACCTCGCCATATCAATGCACAACCACCTATCAAGAGTAGACTAGACTTTGATGTTAATGATGTAATGGTATTCGCTGTTGTTAATATATCATTTGTGGAATTCAATAATGTTGATGTTGATATTAATGAATCACTAGTGTTTTGTGAAAGAGTACTATTATTACCTTCAGTCATTGTTAATGTACTTTGTTGATGTTGATTTTGGACAAAACGTTGCCATAATGAGGAAAGACCAAGTGAAAATTTAAATTTAATATCTTCTTTAAAATCGGAACATAAATTTAGACAATCTAAACGATAAGACACGGCAAAATCGGAACGTGGAGTAATGGTATCAAGCATGGATTTTCGTTCATTATTAACAACAAATTTAACACGCTCTTTTATTTCTTTATGTACACTATCCAATGAAGAGTGCAAGGCTGAATGAAGACGTGCTTGTAAATTAGAGCCAAGACGTTCTTCAACCCATTTATGTAGATCACGTTTATACAATGGAATTTGTTCGGGATCACTTGAAAATGGACGATCAAATTCTTCAATCAGTGTGTAGAGACTAAAATGAACAAATATAAGAACGTTAAATAGGCTTAATAAGCTTTAAGATCAACTAGCATCTCTTTTATAATGTTCTAGTAATGGGTCCTAGAAGTATTCTCTTTCGTGTTTATTTACTTTCCTGTATGACTTCGGTATTTTTTCAAACTCATTATAAAAAGATTTTCTTGATTTCATAAAAATTCAGTTTAAACTATCGTAAACCATTTACAAGGATACAAAGTCAAATTTATTAGATATATATACCGTTTAATTTCATCATTTAATGTTTGTGCCACTCTTTTATAAACATCTTCTGATACATGTCTTATTCTATCCTTTGTTGTTTCCATTATCGATTTTAATTCTTTTTCGATAAAATCATGTTTTTCACTTTGTTCTGTACGTTTTTGGACGCATTCTTGTTTTAATGATTGTGATTTATTAGCAATATTCCCCATTGTATCTCTCAATAGATTGATAATTTCTTTTCCACGATTTGTATGTTGTTCAAATTTTGTTTTTACTGCTGATTTTGAAATACATTTTTCAAATTCTTCTTCAAATTTAGCAAATTCTGTTAAACGCTCTTTGTATCCTAAATAAAAATTAAATTTTCAAACACAAACGTATATTTTATTTTTTACTAACAACTGAATCTCACCTTCTGCAAAACCAGTTTTAGGTGAATTACCAGGATCTGGAGCTCGATAAAGCACTGCTTCACGAGCTGAGACAAAAAACACTCGATGATCAGCCACTACTTTTCTATCGTATAATTGCAACTCATCACATAAAAATTCCATTCCACGTTCGAGATGTTGTTGACGAACCTTAAAAAAAGGAATTTGAATAAATAATTCAGGCAAATGATTTATGCACTTCTATTCTCTTATCAATTACGTACGCTATCAACATTTTCTTGTTCATTCATGATTGCATCCCATCGATTCATCAGTATAAATATATTTGGATTTGATAAATGCTGTGCAACATTATGTAAAAACTTTTTTTCCTATAAAAAAAGATCAGTTTAATGTTATACAGAGTGTAAAAATATTTACTAATTTATCTACTTACTGCCACTGTAATAGTTGCTTCAGCTGATACAACAAGCACAAATACATCAGCATCCAAACAATGATCTTCAATCCAATGATCAAGATTTACACTAACATCAATGCCCGGACTAGAAGCAAAGAGAATGATGAATAAAATAAAAATGTTTAAAATAAAGATTACCTATCAACAAGGATAACATCGTCTCTTAATAGTCGACATTTTTCCTTTGGATATAATATTTTCACTAAGGAATCTGAATCGAGTTTTTCATGTGATAATGCATTCCCAAGATCTTTAAGACTCTTAACAATAAAAAACGAGCATTCAAATTTATGTCATAGATATACAGAAAAAAAAGTCATTTACAACGATACTTTTTGGCTCATCCGAGCGAGGTACCAAAACATGAGCATCTACTTTGTCAGTTCCTTCAATCTTAAAAATAAAATCATAAACCATAAGTTGTTTAACTTAACTAAATACTTTTTATTTATTTTTACTTGCAAGAAACAATTTGTTGTGTGTCCCATGCCTGCAGGTAATATTCTTTCACGTAACATTGCATTCATCACCGTGCTTTTTCCATTGCTTGTTCTAAAGAAATAATAATTAAAAAGTTCTATCAATTAAGTTTCAAATAGGTAAAGTATTAACCTTCCAAAAAAGACAACTTTCATATGATCACGCGAAATAATGTTTAGTATTCCCGTCACTTTTTCTTTTAACTGTTGAATATCTTTGTGTTTATCGACTGATATAAGATTTTTGTCGGATTTAATTACATCTAAATGTTAAAAAAATCAAATAATTCTAAATGTTTTCATCGAACTAACAAAATTGATTAAACCTATTAGAAATATATTTGAGTCGTTCACGTAGGTACTGATATGTTTGAAAATATCAGTAATTGTTGTTTTTGCTTGCGTAAAAAGCTTAAGTGGAGAAGAACTACCATCTAAAGAGAGACAGTCAAGAATGGAAATAATAAATTTTAGAAGGGGGGTGAATACGAACTTGTGACACTATTTGGACGAGTTGGAGTTAAATGTGCTGGTTTTTCTCGTATAATACTTCCAGACATTATAAGGCTCTAAAGTAGAAACAATAGTATATTTTTCTACTATAGACAAATTTAAAAGAGCTACAGTCGAATTCACTACAGCATATTACGTCGAAATTTTCTTTTATAATTAAAAGAAAGCATTCTGATCATTACATGAGCTATTATTAATGTCTGATGCACTTTTTTTTGAGATAGTTGTACAGTTACGTAAGCGAAAATCTTACTTTGTTACACTTTCCCTTAGCGTTGGTCGATTGAAGTGATTCAGTACATAATTAAGCTGACGTAAGTTGACAAAATTTGTTTTTCTTTGTACAATTATTGTTTATCACACTATGACATTTAGGGAGATTGCAAAGTTATTCCCTTAACTTGAGTCTAGGACTATCTGTCTATGCGCAAAATACCGAAAAATGGCTGTCAGATATACCATGGATAAGTCAATCACAAGAGAAATAGGAAATTCTTTTTAACCACAAGAGAAAATGTATTTAAGAGATGATTGAAATGTTTACTGAACTGGAGAAAAAAAGCTAAGCAAACCTTTTCGTAGTTCGTCGATAGATGTCGCCAAAAAATCAGCCTAAATTTGATAACACAAAAAACTTGTCTGCGGGTAATAAAACTTAGAGAATATAGATAATTCATCATAACAAATCGATGAGAAATACTCTCAGCCCCCTTGGAATCTTCAGAGGATGTTCAGAAAACCTTTTTAGCTTTATATTACATTGTGTAAAGCTTTATACTCCGTTATGAAATCAGAGAAGTTCCCAACATTTTTCAGTTATCCTAATGTCTGTGTGTGTGGTATACCGGCCATTGGCAAAAAGTGCTTCCGTTTATGAATTCTTAGACGTTGATTAGTCGTCCATGTGCTTAACACCTGCAAAATACCGACAGTTACCGCAGGGCTATCGGGAGGTATAATAGTAAACGAAAATACCGTGCGGTATACCATGCGGTATGTCACTGTATACCGTCAGTATTATTTGTCATTATGAAGACGTAGAATAGGAGTTTGAAACTAATTTTCAACTTTCTTTTGTTATTTTTGAGCACTTGTAATTGCAGACAGGCTCCCGATGAGAGTCGAAGTTCAAACTTCGACGAATCGGATGATCTAAAAGAAAAGTTTAATCTGAAGAAGAAATCAAGTTTCTCGAATCTTTCTATGTTTCTCTTATATCTTCACGGTTGAAAAATACAATAGTGAATGGATGAAAACGGTTACCGTACGGTATTTTCTTAGATCGCGGTCTAATAAGCTACCGTCGGTCAACCACGCGACACACCGAGTTGTGCGGTATACTGACGGTGTTTTTTTAAACCGCCCGTAACCGGCGGTATTTTAAAAAAAGCTCGACATGGGCATACATCAACTTTTTTTCGGCAAATAGATTTTTTAAAATTTATATCTCAAAGACTTGTAAATCGAAACCTACTCTTGTAATGGTATACTTTGTCTTTTAGTAATCTTTTAGTAATCGGCATCGAGGCGCAGTCTGGAGACCTGTAGGTTGGCTGTATGAGCTTGCTGATAAAGTCCCAGTTTCCTACTTATTTCAGTAATTATCAATCTTCTAATAGATTGAAAAGAACACAAGAATGCTGGTGAGGTCCAACGTGCTGGAAAACGCCTTGTTTAATACCTGCCTGTTCTTCAAGATTTCAAAAATCAAAAAAGGGTGTTATGTATATTGATCAAGAAAAAACAAATATTTTATAAACTCTCATTTCGCAAAAATTCGCATTATGGATCCAAATCAAGCTCAAAAACTTATTCCTTCTTTCATCCTTTCTTCTGTTTCTGCTACTTTTGACATTAGCTTTAATTGACTCGAGTTTGTTAAGACACGCTCTATTTCACATGGACAAAGTTTTTATCAATAGAGCCGTATCAAATAAGGAATATCTCTATCTTTTCACATCTTGGCAACTGTTAGCAAATGTCTAGAGGCGTTTGCTGACATT